TGGATGGATGGATGGATGGATGGATGGATGGATGGATGGATGGATGGATGGATGGGTGGGTAGGTGTTTGGGATTATAGGATGGATTGATGGGTTGGGGCGGGTGGATAATTGGATGGATGGATGGATGGGATGATAGGATGGATGGATGGATGGGTGGGTGGGTAGGTGTTTGGGATTATAGGATGGATTGATGGGTTGGGGCGGGTGGATAATTGGATGGATAGGTGGAATAGTAGATGAGTGGATGGATTGGTGGGTGGGTTGCTATACGGGTTGGTGGGTGGATGTGATTGATGGCTAGAGGGATGGATGAATAAATCGATAACAATTAAATGAATAACATATGAATGGCTGTGTGTGTTGATGTATGAATTCACGGGTGAATAGATGAATGAATGGACGAATGGGTGGCATGGGTGGGTGGATGGATGAAAGGAAGGATTGTTGGGCGGGTGAGTAAAAGGATGGATAAGCCTGCAAAAATTTATACTTATGAACATTTCATAATGATGTCCCGTTTATCATACTTCTACGCAAAGCTTGCATTATCCACATGTTGGAAACCGCAATCGACCAGATATGCACAAGCTGCACGCGAGCTAGAGTGCATACCGTACATCCACGAAAACGGTTAACTAACCAAATATGTACAAATTACTGCAAAGGTTTGTAGGCATACGGTCTAATGAACTTACTAATTTGTGCAAATTTGTACAACTTCTCTCAAAGTTTTTCACGGATATATGGTATGCACTCACAACTCTGAACTGCTAAATAACGTTATATATATATTTTTGCTTCTCTTAGTACTAGTGAAACTAAAAAACTAAATTCTACCTCGCCGAGTTGTCAATGCGTATAAAAAAAACCAGGACTGACAGAAGCATTAGCAGTCTCAAATGAACAAAAAAATACATGAAAAAATTACACAAACGCGTAAACGAAGGATAAAAAATTTTCCAAGATAGTAAAGAAAATTTTCCTTTTCCATAGCAGGAAAGAGCTTTATGCCCTTTTTTTATAGGAGGTAAGAGTTTTTTTTTTTTGTAGCAATTTGAAATAATGCTAAATGATGCGCGGTCCATAAGACTTAAACAAATTAATTTTTCGTATACAATGCTTTAAACTATATATATTGCAAATGGCCTTCGTATAGTTCTATATTTAGAACTCGGGAAATATGAATTATATTTTCGCATTCAATACGGCAAAGTAAGAAGGATAAAGAAGTTTTTAGATTTCAGTACTAAAACTAAAATACCTTTAAGTTAAAAAAATAATTCGAAATTCAATTTGTACCTTTCCGAGCAGTCTTCCTCTGAAGTATCTCTTGCCATTACTATCTTCGATAACTTTGGGAACCTCAGGAAAATTTTCATCCTTAGAACTTCTTGTCTTTCTCGCCGAAACTTCCGCTGGAGTTCTGTTACTCGAATTAAAACTCTGTGGCGATGAATTGGACGAGACTGAAGCCATTTTACTGGGGTTTTTCATCGAGGACTTGATCTTTCTGCCATGGCGTTTTAGCATTCATTGTGATAGTTTTCAAATACCATCAACCTCGCAACGGACGGGTGGTTACCCGTAAATCGCGGTTTTTGATTGGCTGACAAGCGCGCACTAGGAACCGTCATTATTTATGCGTTAACAGCGCGCGCGGTTCACGGAAGTTCCTTTTCGTTCCATTCCAATTTCTCTCAGCCTTTTTTTTCCGGTAGAATTTTAAAATAATCAGTGGGAGGAATATTACAAACATTATAACATAACCGGGTTTATTTTGAACAATAATTTAGCTAGTAGTATTTATTGAAGTAAGACGTAACGGGTAATTTTAGTCATGACAGAGGTGAGGCTCTATTTTTGGCAAAGATCTGAGCAACAGAAAAAACATAGCTACGCCTTGCTAGTTATTCAACTTGTTGGATCCAGAATTTAAAGTTTGACACTAAAAGAAAATATTTAACCAATGAGGCATACAACAAATTTTCCAGAATCTCTCTTTCTCCAAACGTTTGTATGCAGAGGCTAGTGTTTTCGGTCTTTATGCAGTGAGCTGATAAGACAAGACATGAGTTTATTTATGTCAATAGCGACCTTTCCAGACGGTTAATTACTAGAGTACTTGAGGTTAACTGGTCATGGTGTGTCAGCGGTTGGTCATAGCTAAAATTGGAGTTCTCAATAACGAAGGATTTTTTATAAGAATTAAAAAAAAAAACAAAAAAACATTTATATTTAAGTGTTGGGTCTTCTGGTTATAGACTCGAAGATTTCACTGAACTCTTTCAATAGTCACACATACACACATCCATCTTATAATTATTATTTCTAAGTTTCTATTTTTATTGAAAATTCAACCTGTATATTTTGATATAGTCAAAGTAAATCCCTTACAATTAATCTCATTAGTTATTGTAATTCATGTAGTTAAATTGAGTAAAAGTCTAAAATACTATTTGTTTTATTTTCATAAAACTATTTAAAACTATTTTATTTATAAAAATGTAAAAAAGATAGAAAATAAAATGTATCCTAGGTCAAAAGAAGGCACTCAAAACTATTATTAAATCCAATGATCCAAAAGGTCTTTTACAACAAACAGTCACGTGCTGAATACTTTTATAACAAATCAATTGGCAGTTAAAGGTCCCCTGGGGAAGACTCTGCTGGTTGGCTAACAAACTTTAAACTGCTTTGTATCTTGAAATCGAAATTATCTTAGGGGAAAAAGTATATTTGAAAAAGTTTTGGATACGATATTATTAAGTCAACGAAAAAAATATTTAAATAAAGGAAGTCTAATTATTTTCCCCATCCAGTAACAATCATGTGTCAATCTATTGCAAAAGGAATATCGGAGCTAGAGAAAATTGAGCTCTGTAGATTTAGTGGTAAGCTTCTAAATAATTTACAACTGTGAGACGCATACCTTAACAAATTAACATATGAAAAAAATATATGTTTCTAAGAAGCGTTAAGAAGGCTGCTGTTTACGATGGCTAGCGCGTTAAAGCCGTTCGCTGACGATTTGGAAGATCAGCTTACTTGTTCCATTTGTCAAGAAATATTCACAGATCCGAAAACTCTGTCGTGTCTACACAGTTTCTGCTTAAAATGTATCGCTGACTGGTATGTAAAAAGCGAAAGTCCAGTTTTGAAGCGAGTTAATTGCCCCATCTGCAGGGTACGAATCGATGTGCCAGACGGCGACGCCTCCAAGCTTCGATCTTCATTCCACTTGAAATCTCTTTTACAGTTGCTCGAAGCTGCGAGAGCCAAGTCTGACCAAGAGCAAGCAGGATTGCCGTTATGCATATCATGTGAAGAGCATTCGAAATTAGTCGCATTTTGTCTGCAATGCGATGGATTGATCTGTGGCGTATGTTTGGATTCCCACAAAACAATTAAGCAGCTTCGACAAGAACATCATGTACACCTGGTGGCCAATTTTAAGAAAGAAAATGTCGATGTGATAAGCATTGAAGAAGCTGCTGAAGTAACGAAACAAGCCGCAAAACGAGACATGGAAAAACTGAACCAACTAGAAGAGAATTACAAAGAAGAATTGGTCCAGTCAAAGACAAATATGGCGCGAATTGAGAACGACGTACATCTGGCAAAGCTAAAGGTTGGAGATGTAGTAGAATCGATTATCGAGACGGCGAGAGAACATGAAACGGCGATGAACGAGAAGCTCAATGGGATATTATCCGATCGACAAAAGGCAAGTCAAGATGAGCAGAAAGATATTGAAGCTGGCATTAATGAGTTAGCCGAATTTTTACTTCGCTGTGAGACACTGCTGGACAAAAGTGCAGCAAGCGAAATTGCAGTAAGTAAAGATGACCTTGAGCTAAGTTTTCACTCATATTTGGAACGGCCCTCAATTCTGCCAAGCAAACCGATCCAACGAAACGTGACGGTGCGTTTTGTGACAAACCAGGAAGTAACACAATCGTTACAAAATGTTGGCAGAGTTGTTGAAATTGTGTCAGATCCCATGCACTCTTCAATTGCATCAATGAAGGAAGTAAGATGTGGTTTTGTGAATGATTTTGTTATTATCACAAGGAATTCAAGGGATGAGCTGTGTCACACAGACAAGGGCTCCATTGACGTAAGAATCAAAGACCCTGAAGGAAACGAAGTCGAGAGAAGGCTAACTGAACAGAGCACTGGGAAATACAGGGTAAGTTATCGGGCAGAGAAAACTGTGAAGTATGAAGTACAAGTGAATATTAGTGGTCAACCGATCAGGAATTCACCACAGAATATAAACACGCTTGATATGAACACAGAGTTTGTACACGTGAAAACGTTTGTGAGAGTTGAGGAAGAGGAAAAGGAAGAGGAAGAGGAAGAAGAATCATCCTTGCTAAAAGGTTTTAAGAAAATCTCAGTCAATGGTGTTAATCAAGAGATAGCAGTTCTTGATCAAACAAACCGATGCATCAAAATATTCGATGTTGTTGGTAACAGTTTGAGAAGTTTCAATTGTGTGTCGCCTGAGATGGAAGAAAGTAAGCACCTCTTTCCAACTGCATTCGTTTGGAACGAAAACAAAATCGTCATCAGTCTTTATCATCAACAAAATGGGATATGTGTTATACAAGAATTAGATTTAAACGGTACTTTGCTAAACACCATCCATACATCTGACGAGCCTATTTTCCCGTTTAGCTTATGTATTACTGAAGAACAAAACCTTGCAGTGTGCTGTCCGCGTGATGATGAGCATCATATCAAAGCATGGATAAAGTTGTTTAATAAACAATATGAATTGATTCGTGAGTTTGATGGCATCGAGGAAGACGATAATCCTGTTTTCATAACCTATAATAATGGTAAACATTTTGTCTCCTTTGTAAATAAAAACTTAATTCGTGTTTTTGATAAGAATGGAGCCTTCTTGTATGAGTTTGGACAGAAAGGAGAACTGGACGGCCAGTTCGATACTGTCGCTGGACTCACTGGTTATGGCCCTGACATGATTCTTGCATGTGATTGTGTTAATCACCGTGTTCAACTATTAGCAACACGTGGAGAGTTTATAACATCGTTCAGTGGGTATGACTCAGGTGTGATGGAAGGACCTTGGGACATAGCTGTTGGAGCTGACGGTAAAGTGTTTGTCTTACAATATGATGGTAAAGTGCATATCTGGCGCTAGTGCGAATATCTCTCTTCTCATTACCAAGCCATTTACAATGTATTATTGGTTATTTAACACTGCAGTTATATAGTAGCACGCCGGCTAGACCCAGGTTGGCTAGACCCAAGAGCCCTGTCATTCACACTGTGCATGCTCGACCGAGAAATTCCAAAGTTGTGACGAGATAGAAAATTGCTGTCGCTGATTGGTCAAATCAAACCGGCCGCGCGAGCAGTCAAGAGCCAAACGAGTGTAGCATTAATATCTGGGATCTAGATTGCTAAAGGTAGATTTTCGTTGACGTACTGCCAATGTTTTAAATCAGTAGAATTATTGGCGTACGTCAAGCAATTAACTAAAGAAAAAGCTGTACACAAATCAGAAGATAGTTTAGTATAAATCAGCGAAAATAGTTCGTTTGATATTTTTGTAGAAATTTAGTATTTTTCTTTGTGAAATTATATCACAAATTTATGGCTGGAGATTGCACCGAAGTAATGACTATATGGTAGTTAAAAAAAATAAGTTTAAAAATTGTTTAGATCTAAGCATGGTGAACTATAAAAATAGTATAAAACGAAAAAAAGCCGAGTCACGTCACAAATAGCTGTCCATTCTTGGTTCGACCCGGCAATCATCGTTGCATGAGTTTTCCTAGTGGAATAAAACTAGTCCCACAAACAGCTACACAAAAATCGGTTTTAAAGGGTACTACGTGGTTTGGGAGCCGGACAAATTTCTTTTATTTCTGATCCATTTTCCGCTAAGATATTCTAGCTAATTTGTTGAGCTTGTGGGACATAGCAACGGTAACTAAGGGGAGCGGTACCATGAATGAATATGGAGGGCAAAAATGTATGGCAGCAATGATGGAAGATGTTACCAAAAAAAAAAAAAAGGATTACATTTTAACATATCTTTGGGTAAATATTTATAACATGGCAAATATGATTTCCTCACACGAGAAAAAGAATAAAAACTAGAATAGAAACAGATTTATCCGTTTTCTAGTTACACATTGCTTTAGGGTGCTCAACCACCCATTTAGTGCATTTTCTAGGTCTCTTTTAAAACTTAAAACTCGGTTTGTAGAACTCAAACCATTCAACGAAAAAGTGATCAGTTGGTAAGTGTCGACAGAATTGAAAACGAATTCGCAAGCTCTCGAGACTAGTTAGCAATGCTTAACTTAGATGGTAACTGATGGAAAGAAGAAAAAAAGAGCGACAGCAATAACGATGGAAAATGTTACAAAAAAAAATAAATTAAATTTTAACATATCTTTGGGTTAATTTTCATAACATGGCAAATGTGATGTCCTCAAAAGAATAAAAACTAGAATAGAATTAGATTTATCAGTATCTAGTTACACATTATTAGAGTTTGCAACTGTGAAGCACTAATATTTAAACCGGTAGAGAGAAAATTCTTTAGGGTGCTAACCACCCATTTAGTGCATTTTCTAGATCTCTTTTAAAACTCAAAACTCGGTTTGGAGAACTCAAACCATTCAATGAAATAGTGATCAGTTGGTTAGTGTCGACAGATTTGAAAACGAATTCGTAAGCTCTCGAAACTAGTTAGCAAGGCTTTATTGGCACTGCTTTTGCAGTATGGCTTTCTCGGTAGTGAATTGAAGACAAGAGCAATTAGTTACAAAGCTAAAATCAATAAACGGATAAAAGAACTTTATCGGCTTAAATATACAGCTGGGTTTCCTGTGTTCAGGAAGTGGAGCAAGACTTGGGAAACCTTGAAGCATAATTCCACAATATATTTTTTAATTATTGTGATGTGAAAATCTAAAAAAAGCTGATTAAAGTAACGTAAAGTACTTTTAAATTCGTTTCTATCTTATTTGTTAACTTTGTTACTAGCTGTCAGATCAAACAGAAAGATTTTGTGTTTAACTGAATTCATATACTGCTCTTACTAGCTTTTCCCCCACACAGAAAAGACGAGTTTTTAGAATATAGAGTTTTACGATTCCTGTGGACGCGCGTCTTTCCGAGAATCCACAGCAACTCTAAAACTTGGTATTCTGAAAACTCATCTTTACTGATTCTGGAGGGATAAGTGAGACTATTTGCAGTTTAGAATTTGTAGACTGAAAGATCACTATCAAAGCATACCCCCACCAAGTATTGGAGCAATGCATTTAATCTTTCAGTACTTGATCAGCTTGTTTTAAGGCTTTTGACACCCCTGGGTCTTATTTACGAAGTTCCCCATAGTTTAAGATTTCCAATCCTTACCCCTCCCCCCTTCCATAAGGATTTCCTAAGGCAAGGGAAGCAGCTGAAAAATTGCAATAGCACCAAATCTCATACTCAGACCCCTGTCAGCAATATTAAGTGGAGAAAATTTTCCTGATGTGTGGGGAATGGTTATTAGACGAGTCAGTGGAGCTGAAAAATTAAATGCAATGGCACCAAATTTTATACTCAGTCCGCTGTCAGCAATATTAAGTGGAGAAAATTTTCCTGATGGGTGGGTAATGGTTAGAGTCAGAGAAGCTGAAAAATTAAATGCAATGACTCCGTCTCATACTTAGATTCTCATCAGCAATTAAAAGTGGAAATAACCTTCCTCATGGTTGGGGAATGGATATGAGAGGATTTCTTACTGGTCAAATATGCTTTTAAATGGGCTTTTGTTGTGGGTTTATGCATAGAGAACCCCTAGGCTTATCTAATGAAGTGATCTAGTCATCATCAAATCCTTGACTTAAGAGGAAGTTTGCAGCTAAATTTTCATTTTTGTCACAAGCAAAGTAAGCTTGGACAGCCATGTTTTCATTGAATCCAAGAGCCTTTAGCTGAAAGGAAACAAAATATTCAAATCAATACAGTAGATTTGTTTCATTGACTTTTAAATACTTTCTTTGATTTACAGAAATTTTTTTGCAAGAAATATTGTTGCGCATTTTCATTGTTTTGATGGCGAAGTTTATCTTGCGCATTTGTAAGGAGTTCAGTTGCCCTGAAGATGACCACGTAGGTTAAAAGCTTAGTAAATTGAAGAAATAATTTAAAAGTTCATGGAACAAATCTAACCAAATGAAATTATTGAAAGTCAATTTTTTTCTGAAGCAGTTTGTTGAATAGCAAGGAAAAATACAATAAAAATTTCAGGTGATCTAAGTTAAGTCAGGGCACACATAACTCATAGAACCAATTTGAATGTAGGGTTTGCATGTGACAGGACAATTTGAGGACCCAAAGAAAAACCCTCAAATCAAGGTGAGAAAGGCCCAACAAACTCTTCTTATATTTGATGCCAAGTCCACCCTTAATATTCTAAAACTCTTACCCTTTCTATAGCTTCCTTCTCTGTTTGTGTTATGTGAATATAGCTAACACCAGGAGGTGGAGCTGCTTGATCCCCTTCAGCAGATGGAGCAACTTGGCCAGGTGTACCTTGCTGTCGACCTTGTGCTGCTGCTGGTTGTGCAGAGGACGCATCTTCTGGGACTGGCTCGTTTAGCATTTGAATAAATTCCTCCTGCCGTTGACTAATAAGCTGTAATATAACATAATTATTATATCATATGTTTATCATAAATACAGACTTCTTAAAATATTTGACATCAGCTGTATTAAAAATCCTTTCATTTTTTTTGTAATACCCTGAAACAAATTCTTGGCCGATCAAAGTTAGGGCACGGCCAAATAACAGGTAAAAAATAGGAATTTGGCAAGTTCGGTTTTGCAGAGGGCAGGCATCCCAGTCACCTTTTAGACAAATTTGATAGGAAATATAGGCTGTGCAAGTTCTAAATATAGGAAAATATAGGAGTTTTCCCCAAAAATATATGCACTTTATAGGAGCTAAAATAGCTTTCCAGTGGCGTAACCAGGGATCTTGCAGGGAGGGTGCACAGGCAATGATTTATTTGCAGAACCAAATAAGCCATAAAAATGACAGAACCAAAAAAAAAAAACCCGCCCAATATGATAAACAGTGTAAAATCACTCAGCAGTTGTCCTATTTATAGGAAATATAGGAGGTTTTCTTTAAATATAGGCTCTTTATAGGATTCTATACAAATTATAGGAAATATAGGAGCTCTTGGATGCCTGAGAGGGAGGAAAACTAGAGATCCTGGAGAAAAACCCTCAAATCAAGTAAGAGATCTAATAAGCTCTACTCACATGTGATACCAAGTCCAATGATTGAACCTGAGACACCAGAGGTGTGTATGCTAATGCCACCCCACCCTTGATTCCCTAAAATTGCATCGAAATGATTAATATTAAGTGAATACCTGTAGTAGTTGTGGATTGGACTGACCCATTTGCTGTAGTAGCGTGGGAAGCGAAGAAGGGTTTTGTTGAACCATTTGTCGCATTTGAATAAACTGAGGCTGATTCCGTAAGAAATCCAAAGATCCTGTAACATGAATGAATCACAGTAGAATCAACAATCTTGGACAAATAGAGTTGAGAATTTTTCATCCAATCATGAAATAGTAGAATTTCCCTTATTAAAAAAATATTTTCCGTACCCCCTCTCCCCCAGGACAATGTTGGTCCCAGTAGGTAAAGCAGCCCTGTATCCCTCGAAACAACATTGTTTAGGGGGGGAGGGGGTCGTTTTAAGGGGAATTTCTCATGTTTTTCATGAAAATACCATCAAAACTAAAAATTTCTCAACATTTTTGACCAAGATTGAAGGTTAATTTTCAGTAGCAGTATTTTTTGGTGATGCTCAATTTTTCTTTTTTTCATTATCTGAACTACATTAAAAAAACAGAACACTTTTTACTCCCAAAACCAAGCCCAGTTAAGTATGCAATGTGGCTTCCATCTAGTTACAATGCCAACTGTTTGCCAACATATTTTGGCAGCTTTAAGTCTTTCCCATTACAAGCCCATTAGTCTGCTCATCCAACTATCCTTCCAGTTATAAATCCCTGGTTATAAGTCCACTAGTCTGCTTATACTCTAAAACATCCTTCCAGTTACTACGTAGCTCTCCCTGGTTGTGAGCTCTTGAAAAACCCCTTAAGATTGAGTATAAGCACACAACTTGTAACCAGGATTTAAAGTATTTTCTGTACTTTTTTTGGCTCAATAAATTTAGCCATAAGCTAAAGTAAGGTCACTTGAACCCTGAACACTTTGACATGAACACATGTCACTTTAAAAAAATATTCTGAAACTCATCCCGTGAGCCAATCAATAAGCCTGAAGCGAGATGATGTTTTACCCCCGTCTCTAGACCATAATCCTTTTCACACTGCTTTTGTTCTTTAATTATGACTATTGTTCCTGTATTCTCTAAGGAATCAAAAATTTTAATATGAAAGAATTTAAAAAACTATTATGGTATAGAGTCGGGAGTAAAACGTCATCTCGCTTCAGGCTTATTGGAAATAAGAATTTCACTTGGTGTATTTGAACTCAATGCTTCATTTTCGAGTGTTTGAAACAGTAGAAAGTTCAGAAAATAATAACCAGAAAAAAACTTGTTCATGGGGGTTGATGTGAGTTGGTTTCAATTGACTGATGCATTACATATGTACTGTATTTACCATTCCCTTCCTGTGCTTCTTGTCCTCTTGCTGCCGGCGCTGATGGCTGATCCTCCCCTGATTCTCCCTGCAGATCTGGAATTTCTGGGATTTCCTAAGAATGAAATAAGATAACACGAGATTATTTTAATATGTTGAAAAATGCAATGATGGTAAATCAGGATGATAAATTGTAATTACCGTCATTAAGTATTCCACAGCTCTGTCTGGATTATTAAAACTTGCTCTTAAAGCTCTTACAACCTGAATAAAAAAAATATATAGGGAAAAATCTAATTGTATTTGCTGGGTTTTGATTATAGCTCTCAACTACAGTTGTCAACACTCTCTAAGGGCATAAGAAGGGCCTTTGGTAGAAAAACTATGTTGTAACCACATTGTTACATTATTGTGGCTAACCACAATCAATTTATGGAACATCAAAGATGAATCTACTGTAATTTTGTGTAGTGAAACAGTCTACACATTAGAGTGAAGGCATTTAACCCGTGAAATAAAAATTATTAGTCAATGTGTAATAGTCAAATACACACAAAAGAAAACAATGGAATTAGGGTCTACTAAAGTGTGTTAGTCTAATATCTATTTCACGTGTTTAATGGCTTCACTCTAGCTGCTCAAAATACCGTAATCTAATAGATGATTTCAGTGATCCACAAGCGCTTTTATAAATATTACAGATGCAGACATAAAAGCAAGGCAGTGTCTGTTCATAAGAAACCTTGTGAAACCATAGAGTTATGAGTTTTTGTATGTCTTTTCTATAGCGTGCATAAGATCTTTCCCGAAAATGACTCGTTTTCAAATCTGAGCATTCAATACTTTTGACAGTGCTTGCACATCTTTGAAATCGTCTATTGATGGTGGAGAAGCTGTTTATAGGGAACCTACCAAATCTCGTTCGAAGCCCATTGACATGATTTCAGAGACTAAGTTTTCATATTCACTTCCAGTGGCTAAAATGGTTGAGAGAAAATGAAAGTTACAACACAAATGTTTAGTCAACAGCAACAATCACTAACCATCACCATGACTACTACCATCATCATCATTATTTTCACTATAATTTATCACTATCGTCTGGATCCTTATAACTAAATATGTAAACTGAAATGACCATTATTGCACTGACTATTGACTGAATATCCTCTTATACATGTGAAAACACTTTTATGTTTCCATGCAAAGGCTAGTCAGTCGCTAGTCAGTGCAGAACGATAAATATTCAAATTGGTAACCATATTTCAATAGCGCAGCGCAACCATGACGTCATAAAAACGAAGACAAGGCGAAATTCGGGCAAACAAACTTACAAGTTTACTTTCAGCGGATAATTTTCAYAGCCGATMGCAGTTSATCTTAGTTTACATGGGTTATTATTGTRACTTTAAGTAAAAATAATAAAATCGGTTYGTATAATCCTCGTAGYGGTTAAACAGAATGCAATGTTTGTCCGAATCTTTAAGCTATTTTTAGAATCAGTGCGCTGTGCTATTGCGTGTATATAATCCTCTGTTCATCATTATGCATAGGGCTTTTTAATACCTAATACTGATTCAGCTGCCATCAAAGGATCTGATGGTGATGCTGTGCTCGTCTCTTGAGTGGGTGCAGTAGGGGTTTCAGTACTGTAAATGAAATAACAATATTATCTCAAAGAATAATTCATGATACAGATAGAATCTTTATTGCTCTTTACGTTCGTGATACATATAAAAAAATTGAAGGCTACTTTATAAATAGAGAAAGGTTACTACGTAGACGATAAGCCTGAGAGCTAGATAAACTGTTTTTGAGCTAGCTCCCAGTATTTTGTTGCCATTTTGTAGGTTAAGAGCGTAATTAAGTATTTGACATGTATATCAAGAAAAAAAAAAACAACAAAAAAAACAACTAAAGAACTAATAATATATATAACAAATAAATATGAAAGAAACTACTATAAGGGAAATATTTTACAGTATGTATCAAGYGAAGTTAATAAAGAAAATAACAATGTTGTTTGAGTTATTTAGACCTTTGCTGGTTAAGTAGATAATTTTTAAGTTGCTTTTGAAACGAAATAGTATTCTTACATGTTTTTAGGTCAATGGGAATACTATTCCACATATCTATTGCCATAAAGGAAATAGTAATAAATGATAATAATAAAATAATAAATAAACAATAAATAGAATAAATAATAAACAGAATAAAATAAATAAATAAATAATAATAAATAATATATAATAATAATAAAAATAATAATAATATATAATAATAATAAATAATAATACATAAATAATAAATAGAATAAAATAAATAATAATAATAATACTATTATCTCAAAGAATAATTAAGGCAGTGATCTCTCCAATTTCTTTGACTGGGCACCACCTGCAGAATAGGATCCCCCCCATCAAACCTAGGAAGGTGAATTCCAATCTGATCTGAGAGTAAGCTGTGCCACACTTTGATCAACTCAGAGGTTGTTTCATGCTATTGATAAAACCTAAAATATACTTGAATACTTATTGCTCACGCATCATCTAATGATAATAATAATACTTCAATCACACATTATGGCATAAAAAATGAATTAGAATGTGTTAACAAGTAGCAAAAAATTTTTTTGGCTACTAGTTATTACGTTATATATATGTAGGTATGTACATGTAGAATCCAAAAATATAGTGCTACAGATAAATACACTTTATTATTAAGTGCAATATTTACCTAGGTGGTTTAGTCTCAGCTTCTTTACTTGTCTCTACTGGCTTTGTCTCTACTGGCTTTGTCTCTACTGGCTTTGTCTCTACTGGCTTTGGCTCAGGCTGTTCAGGTCTGGAAGAAGCTTGTGTTGTTGGAGTAGCAGCTGCAGCAGTAGCCTATTTTGGAAATATAAATTATATAAGTTGTAATTACCTTTTAATATTTATATGTAAGGACCAGGGCCGGGTTGTTCAAAGCTGGATTAACGCTAATCCAGGATTGACTCTATAGCTCTTATTAAGAGTTAATCCAGGATTAGCACTAATTGGGCTTTGAACAACTGGGCCCAGTACATTCCTGTGGCATTGTGGTAGGTTGTGCTGTTGTAGATGGTGCAGGTGTGGCTGCTGGTTTGGGCTGAAATTTTAACAACAAGTCATCAACGATATTAGATTCTTGCACTTGTAAGTTGTGATAAAAAATGTAAAATGAGAGATGAAGAGAGAAATTTTATATTTGAAGTTTGATGTTCAACGACATTTAAGAAAAATTATATTTGGTCAGAGACCAACTACTTCAAAAACATCCTGAAAGCTCTGGATCAGGCCAAACAAAAAATAAGTGTTTCCTGTTGCGCAATAGACCCTAATTTTCTTGCCAATTTTTGCCGACCCTAATTGTTTTTTATTCCGAAATGCACCACAGGGTTCCCAGTAAGCTTATTTCCACTGTTGTATCAGTAAAAAAATCTGATCTACCATGCAACAGGAAACACTTATTTTTTTGTTTGGCCTTGTCTCAAGATTTTATTTAACTGAGGTAATTTATTAGGACAAATTAAATTAAAGTTATATTTTTCACCTTTGAAACCATGATAACAACAAAACTTTTTTCATCTATCTTGTAATCCTTAACTGGTGTTTCATCATTCAATATTTTTCCTGGTTACAATAAAAACCCATGTGAGATAAGTAGAAAGAAAAAATTCATTGAAACATCTATGAATGTTTTTTATGACATGTTTTTAGGGCTTAACATAACAGCTGGACATCACACAATGTGCGCCAGAATAAACCTGAAGCGAGATGACGTTTTACCCCCGTCTCTAGACCATAATCCTTTTCACACTGCTTTTGTTCTTTAATTATGACTATTGTTCCTGTATTCTCTAAGGAATCAAAAATTTTAATATGAAAGAATTTTAAAAACTATGGTCTAGAGACGGGGGTAAAACGTCATCTCGCTTCAGGCTTATTGGAACTTGTCGGATCAAATATTTGTCTTGCTGGTCATTTTGACCAGTATTGTTGAGCCAGAAATGAGGCATGACCAAATTTAGACTAATATGGCTGGTTATCATGACTGGTGACTTCCTGACCATTATTTTACACCCTTGGTTTCAAAAATTATCAGTCATTGATTTTTTTAATCATAAGTCAACACAATAAAATGACTCTAACATGATGATGCATCCTCAAGGGAAATACTTGGTCTGAAATGGGAAAACATTGCGACCAAGCTAGAGAGGTCTATCATTAGACACTAAATTTAATCAGCTATCTAGGCAACAAGAAAAAAAGTGGCTCATCTGTAGCATATGTATGTATACATGTCCATATTCATACCTGCATATATCAGTTTAATGGCATTATGTGGGTACCCATCCTTTCCCTTTTCACTCTCAATCTTTTTCTTCAGCTCCAGAACCTGGTATTACAAATAACAATATAAATATTTGAGTAAAACTGTGTATATTTTATTCCTGCTTTGGATATTTAGCATGGTTTACCTATCGGCTGGAAACTCATGGTACCTGATACTTTAACATTAAAGTAGTTTTTCATTATGAAATGTGTTTTTGTCACTTGGTAAAGATCTATATGTTAAGTGTATGCTACATCGAGTGTATAAGCAGATTTAAAAATCTGCCTCAGTCTCGAGTCCCGCAAGAACCCAACTGAAGCAGATTTTTTAATCTGCTTATACACTCGATGTAGCATACACTTAACACATAGTTTTTCATTGTTTCCATGTGACTTAGTTAACTCATTCAATGGAATCATTAGGTAGCTCTATTGATTTCCAGTCTTGAATGGAGGTTTACTGGCTGAATTGTAAGTTTTGAGTAAAAAGATACATGGATGTTTAAGAATGGAAGGCAGTGGTTATGACATTGTATGTTGGTAATAAGATTAAATCAGCTGATTGATACCAAGCAAAAGAATATACACGTAGTCTCTGGTTGATTACAGAGAAACAGGCAGTGTTTGCCTGGCATTGTAGGTAGGTTGATAATGAGATTCATTCAGCTGATTGATACCAAGCAATTGAATACTCTCTGTAATTGATAGCACATGGCATGCAGTGTTTGCCTGTTATTGTAGGCTGTTATCAAGATTTATGAGATTCAATCAGCTGATTGATACCAAGCAATAGTTATGGGTACCACCACAATGTATATGACATTATTAAGCCATATATAAAAATTTTGCTCTGTTTTACCCCCTACATAATTATAATTTAAGTGTGCATTAAAATGACAGTGCTAGAACTCATTCACCAACAAGTTTTTTTTAGTTATTTTGATATAAAAATTAAGTTCTGAAAGTAACTTGTTTTTTATTACAATGGTTAACGAAATGCCTTGTTACACCATTCATGAGGCTTGAATTAATGAATGTAAACCATGTAAAGTTATGAAAAAACTGTGCTTTTGTAATCACTAAATGATCAATGAATATAAAAACCTGAAATATCAAGAACAACAGTTCTTTATCTTCAAAATGTCTAGAATTGAAATTTGTATTCTTTAATCTTAAAAAGGTATAGTACTCTTATAATTTTTCTCTGTAGATACACGAGTTTACAATCGTGCTGAGAACCTGGCACAAAATTGGCCTAGTTCACTACAAGCTTATTTCCTGTAGCGAAAATACTTTTTAACACAAAGTATTCAAGATCCATAAACCAAAATCAAACCTTTACATACATGAATGATTTAAACTTAACAGGAAAAGAAAGAAAACAGTTTAGATATTTTAGTTTTACTCTTGTCGAGGCGTCATAGAATCAATGACATGAAGCTTAAATTAAAAAAATTCCTTAAGTTAAAAGTCTTTGAATTTCCTCAAGATTAACTGGATTTTTTAGGAGTTTAAAAACAGAACATATACTCTAAACCTTTAAGAATGTATTGGGTTCTTAGTAAATTGAATAAAAGCAAGTAAAGTCTTTCAGTTCCTGATGAATCAAAGGCATGACATTGCAAAAATAGTTAACATTTACAGCCTGGACAGGTCATCCTTACCAACTGATTTTCGTCAAATTCAAGCTTAAACGTCTGTTGCTGCAGTGTTTTGAACGTAATTAACATTTTGATTCTTCAAGTATATATTCAGCACCACTATATGTCGAGTTCTAGCGTGTTAAACCGTCTTTAAATGGAAGATTTCTTTGTATTTTTTGATAAAAAACTGACTTCAAGCGTGCGCCATTACAAAATACTGAGATCAGACGTCATGCACCCCGACTGCTCATGCGCAGCACTACCGCTTTGAGTTCTGGGTACCTCATGGATTATTACCGTGAGAGACTCAGGACTAGAGTTTCAGCAATTAATTAAATATTTAACATTCTTGATCTTCATCATCTTTATTTGAATTAACATTTGACTTGACCAGTGATTTTTTTCAAGAGTAGGGAGAAATAAGACCTAGCACATGACCTAGCACTTCCTACAAATATCCGAAGGTTGAACTTCCGGTAAATTCGATTCGGAAATTCGAGAGTGATATAAATCGACACAAACTGACGTGTCTTATATTGACCGATCGACTCGGAGCTTACTTTCACTGCCCTGTCGCTTCCAACGCAGCTTGTCTTTCTCTACCACAACAAATTTGCTTTTTGTTTCTTTTTCGAAATTATTGATTGCTTGTTTGACTGAATCATGTAATGATACAAATCCTCCGCTGTTTGATTCCCTTTGTGGAATCGATTCTTTCGCGTATTTGACGTTCCTGCCAAATGTAGATTTTTCCGAGATCATAGTGGTGTAATACTCGGAACTCGTTTAGCCTTCGGATATTTGTCGTGACAATACTCTCCCTAGTCTCTCTCAATCACCCGGACTGCGAGTATCCCATCTAGCTACAACCTTTTCTTTTCATTTCCCCTCAGTCATTCTTTTTTTCTTGTACTCTGGTGAATGCCGACATAAACATTTGGGTTGCCTGTGGTTTTGACTGCTGCGCATGTGCGCATCTCTATCTGGAACATGCGCAAGATTATTTCATTAATATTTTTATTATTAATATTATTATAAGTTTAAAAATAATTATCCTCATCGTTATTGTTATCATAAAAATAATTACTGTCACTCGCCACTTTTGAAAGTCTATGCCATGCATTTTCAGTGGACCTAAAGCAGCGATGTTTAAAAATAAACCTTCGAACACATCAAATAAAAACAAACATATTCCACAAACAAGATATATTTTTGAATAAAAAAGCGTTATTTGCTTACTCGCATCGTCGAAACACAACCAAAGTATATCTTGCATTGAGAAATGCATTGCACTGGGCAAAAGAAACTAAATTACTTTAAAAACGACTGACCAATGGAATATATAAAAATAACATTTTGCTGCGTAATTTAAGTCATTCCTTTCACAGAGGGGTTTTAAGTGACACAAGGATGTAGTTTTCGCCATATTTGCCTCCCAAAGACAGTATGACTTTAGAAATGACAAAAAGCAGGAGTAAGACCAACGGTAAGCAAACGAATAGAAACAGTCAAATTAAATTTGTTTTCAACAAGCTTTTGTCATTTTGTCACCTATACCCCAGTACACACTTTACTTTCATTGATTATTTTCATTACTTTCTTTTCATTTCATTATCTTTGATCGCTAGATCTGTGCGAACAAGTGAAATTGGACGACCTTTCCCTGTATTGTCAATAACAATGACGTGTTACTATGGCAACGTTTTAAAACTGAGAACAGCTGCTAACGGCTTGAGATTTCAAAATTCATTGCTGATATTAAAACCACCAGTCGAGGCTCCTTATTTCTAGTAATAGTAAGCTAAAATATTTCTATATATTTGTTTTTCGTTGCCGGTACTGAATTACGATTGGTTTGTAAAAGGTCTTGCGCATTTTAGAAGCGTTTAGCGAAAAACACATCCCGCCAGAGAAATAATTTCTGTCTCGCAGGTGTAAGCACGGATACAAGAGGATAGTTCTTGAAGAGAAACTCGTCGTCTTGAATCAAATGTACAGGCAAGAGAGCGATCGCCGTTTTCGCCAGCAGGAAGCCAGCACGTTTTATCGTAGCTTGCGAAGCGAGGGCAAGGAAAAAAGCGAAATATCAAGAACAGAACGAAAACAGGGAAAAACAGAACTCGAAGAGGAACATCTACAAGCCACAGGGAAAGAAACATCTTTCATCAGCGATAGGACATTAGCAATCAAGTCAAGAGGGCCTCACAGAAGGGACGGCTTGTTTTTCGTTCATAAGATAAAACGACTTATGGACGAACTGTTAGAGGAAAAATTAGACAACGAAGTATACGATGAGGAGTCCTGTAAAATAAAATGTTTGACACTATCCGAGGAGATAAAACAGAAAGTTAAAGAACTTGGGATGACAAGGTATCGAATTATTTGCCATGTCTCCATAGGGTCGTGCAGCGGCCAAGGTCTGATCATGGCGAGTCGATTCATATGGAATGATATTAAAGATAACTTCGTAACATCGACATTTAGGAATGTTTCTTTATTCGCTGTGGCGACAGTCTTTGGTGTCCTGAAGGAATAAAACAAGACAGTATACGTATTAAAAAGGGTTCCGCTGTAGTAAGTAAATATAAGGATATATAGCGAACTCCAAAGGTTTTGCTCATATACAGATATATCAAATCCAGATGTGCATTTTTAAAACTGAACAAGCGATATAAAGATATATATAACTGCTTTAGGTATCTATTTATTATCGTGTAAATGTAAATAAAATTATTATATACCACTGTGGTTAAATGTATTTTTGACATTTAACGTCAAAATAAACCAAATATATACGTCCCACTGATTTTGAACTGATTAATTGCGACAGGTTCTTGGTTGCGCGCGCAATGCACGGTGCGAGGCATATCCCGGGCGTGCAATTTGCTCATTCAAGTTTAGTACAAAGTTAGCTAGTGTAGCTTTTTGCACAATCGTGATTGTCCACAGTCATTTTGTACTTAATAAAAATAGCTCAGTCCTGTTGCCGAAAAGACACTACGAAACAAGTTTACTGAAGAATGTGGTGTCTTTTATGCTTTACTGATCTTTTCGATTCGTCTTATTTCCTGAACGCTACGTGTTGAAATACACTACTGCATTGTATGTTCACGAGGACGGAGGGCACTAAACTTTATCCGTTTCAGCGAAACAACGGGAAAAGCTAATGATTTGTTAGGATCCTAAGGGGGTGAGGGTGCGCACGGCAGGCTTCTGTTTTCACTTATTGTTTGCTGGCCGGAAATAAAATGCGCAGGCTCATTAGAAAGAATAGGTTCAAATCGATAACGCAGTTCTTAAATCAGTGCGCACTTATCAGCTGCTTGAATGCATTCGGCTGAACGTAACGGCAACGTAACTACGAGCAAGGATTAAGGATGGCATTTGTAATATTTCATAGTTAAAAATCTCATCATGTACATCAATTATTTTCTCTCTGGAGACAGAGACTTGATCGGATTTCATAAAAGTAATCATTATAATCTTCTTAAGTTAATTCAATAACCTTTTTCTTTCATTATTTCGTATCCATATTCAAGTGTCTCCTCATGTGCAACCGAGCGCAAACCTTCTTTACTCTCCGGAGCGCCAATTCAGTTCAAAGTCGATTGAAATTTGAACTTTCCTAGTATAAATGAGCGACTGAGGGCAAACTTAGCAGTTCTAACAGACATGCAAAACGACAGTTAGACGACATGTGTCACTGAAGAAGAATTAATTGCGCTTAGAAATCCAAAGGATGAAATTCCCACGCCTTTCTTTGACGATTTCCCTGGGAATGCGACGAATTTCCTTTCTTGGGATCGATATTGAAGCATCAGTCAAATTTCCGGATCTATTTTAAGCACAGCCGATAAATTGGTGAGTTAAACTCAATATGATTAATGCTCTCAGCGATGGGTGATTAGTGTAAAGTACACATTAATAGAGAAGACCAAACAAGGTGACAAAATAGCCAGGAATAATTACTCGTTCAATGGCTCCAATGATTACACAGTCTGGGGCAAGTATGACATCTGAAAGGATTGGCTTGAGCCAGAATTTCTATTGTTAATTAATACATAAGTGTAAGAATTCGCGTCTTTCTTCAACGATTATACCCGCAAAGCTTTTAAAGTCCAAAACAGTTTGACCTCAGCAGTGTTGACCGATGATTGAGGGATTGAATGGATGCATAGACACGCAGGTTTGTCTGGTAAATCGATACATAAGGACGATGTTATTGGCTATTAAATTCTTACGAGCTTGATGCAGACCGGTAGCCGATCCATTTGAAGAAGCTAGTCTTCTTTGATAGTGAATGAAAAAGGATCGTAGTATGTCTGAGAAGTCGAATTTCACAAAACCGCTTTCGGCTGCCCTCGGCAAAGCAACTGGGGTCTTTACGCGACCAAAATTACAAAGACGAGCGTTTACTGCTCATGCTGCGTCTGAGCTCATCTCTGCTGCAAGTTTATCCAGCGTCTTGCTCGATTTAAGAGAAAATGGAACGAAATCTCAAGACAAAATACAAACAGAGCAAGAGAAACCTGAAGTTATAGATGACGCACCTAATGTGTTAATATCGCATCGCTTAAGCACGTGTCATGGCAATGGTACTGGGATAGTTGATTCTAAAACCAAAACCGAAGGAAATGTTCACGAGCCGAGACGAAATAGCGATACAGCCGTCTCCAATAATCCGCAATTGCAAAACAACAAGTTTATAGCCAAGGATAAAGACTTCACGTCGCTAAACTGCTTCAGAGTGAAAAACATCATAAGCGAGACTTTAAAGGCGCACGTTGGTAATATGGAATACGACCATCAAGAATGTGGAGAAAAGAGCCGAGTAATGAGCCAAATAATCGAGAAAAGAGTCAAAACTTTGAGTAACGCACAATACAAGGTCACTGTAATGGTATTTATAGGTGCTATTCGCGACAAAGGCATCGAATTAGCAACACAGTGCGTATGGTCGCCTGCAGAAGACTATTTCGCGATGGCAACTCATAAAAATGAGACAGTTTTTGCATCTGCGATCGTATTTGCCACAATATTTGAGTGAAGGGATACCACTTTACGCAAGTGATCGTTCTTGATGAAAGATACTAATTGCTTAATAAGATTTGGCGATTGAAATTCGAGTTATGGTATAACACACTTCTGTTCAGCTAATCGTCCATTGTCGGATCATGTTCGTCAATAGTATCTATTACATTCAAATTCCTCTTGAAGAGCCTTGAAGCGGAGATCTATAAATGAAATTTATTAGAATATTCTCTGCCACTAGCTTAAACCCAATACTGAAACAGTATCTATGATTCATCCTCTTGTGTTAGATGCCTGAGAGCGCTCTGAAACTGTAATTAAGTACGTCCTGTACAGGATTTTAAAGTCTGTTTTCATACGAATTATTCCAAAGTTGACTTTGTAAATACTAAGTGAAACTACACGTATTTGGTTTAATATTAATTTGCTAGCATAGTCAAGTTATATTTTAATTGGTAACACCCAGGATTTCAATTATCTACTTAAAAGAAGAATGATAATATTATTTTATCCCACTCATAGACAACACGGCGGTGTTTTTGATGGAGCTATTTTTGTATGAACTGATGGAGTGCTTAACCCCGGTTTCTTTGGTTGGCCGAAAGGGCTTCCCTCTACCTCCCCCGAAGGCTAAAAAACAGACCTGCCTCTCTCATCCTCTTGATTCCCCGTATTATGAAGTACTGTGATTGGATCATACGCATGTGTGATCGATTGGTTCCCTGTATAGTGATTATTGAGATTGGATAATGTACACCTCCTCATTGGTTCTCTATATAGTGAATAGTCCCTTTCACAGTTCCCTGCGCCATCTTGAAAAGTAGCCGTGCCTTTGCATCGAAGCGAAACGAACAATGAGCTTGCAACGATAGAGACCTTTTTTTTAACACCTTGGACAATTATTCGCATGTCTCTATCATTGCAAGCTCACCGTTCGTCTCGCTTCGATGCCTTTCAAGATGGAACTGTGAAGGGGACTATTACAATACTTTGATTGGATCATGCACATCTTCGTTTGTGATTGGTTCTTTGTATAGTAAATCATTGTGATTGGATGTTATACATCTCATTTCGTTTTGTGCTGGATCTTCGTATATGCGCATTATATACTTTATAGTTGGAAATTGGGAATATTTAGACACTGATATGAGACTAACCCTGAATAAATGGGTCTGTAATTAAGCAACATCTTGGTATGGTATGAAATAGAAAAATGATCTATTTGTGCAAGATCAGCCCGTGAGCCCGACCACTTATTAAGTCGAGCGGGGGAAAACAATAAAAAACACACAAAACAATGTGATTCGATAGGATTCACGATCCCACATAGTAGGCCAAGAGAGAAATGCTCCCGCCATCTATTGATCTCCATGATACCTAATTAACAAGTTACCTGTAGTGAAAGAAACCTATTAAAAATACAAGATTACTCCTGGACGATCCATGAATATATTACCTAACCGTTTAGGCTAGTTTCACATCAGAAATCCCGCCTTTCCCCCACAATTTGTACCTTTAAGGTAAAGCTTGTTAATCAAGGAGAGAAAAACCCAGGGAAACAGACAAACTTGACTGCAACTCGACGTTACTAGATGCCTCCATGGACATCTCAATATAATTCATTTAACAGCATGTACAAGTGTTGTTCAAGCTGCCTTGCTTGTGTAGTGTGCAGTATGACAAACGGATGTTCTACGCAGCTGCTACCCAAGCGGTAATCTTTCTGAATTATCTCCTATCTCCTGGGAATTTTGAAAACAAAAGCCGGTGTTCATAGAAGTTTGTTTAAAAAAATTATCGAGCTGAATCAAATTTGCGCGATTCTCAGTTGGGGACGACCAAAAAATCGAGAAAAAAAAAAAATAATTGGTTTGAAATGATCAGGTCGTGATTGAATCCATTCCTAAGAGGTGACGGAGGCAATCGACCGAAGGAAATTAGGCATTTTCAGTATGGCAAGAAGTTCAAGAGCCGCTACTTTATTCACTGTTATATGTATGTATGTAACGCGAAGCCAGAGAAGTTGCTAATGGATTAAAGGCTTTAAGGATATATATTTCACTACAAACATAAGAAATGTCAATAATTCTCAGTGGATCATAGGTGTCGTTCAACTAATAAGGTAGAACAGAGGGCAGCAGATCATTACATCCTTGACATCCAGTTCACTAGCACGACACTAAAGGGAGTTAGTTAAAGAGGTATAATTCAAGATTAAGGATGCCAGCGTTAGTAAAGGCAATAAATGAAAGACGATTCAGACAGGCAAGATTTCTTGTTGCTTCAGGCTACAACGTCAACGACAAGGACCACGAAAGTGGACACACTGCCCTGATAGCTTCGTGTCTTCTCGAGAACGAACGAAAAGCCTGTTGTATCATCAAGTGGCTCCTCAGACACGAAGCTTGCCTTTTGACATCCGACAATCGAGGTCTCACACCACTAATGCATGCTTGTAAGAACAGGAAATACCGGGTTGTTGAACTCATTCTCAAGGAAAAAGAGCTTGATCTTAAAGCTCAAGACAATGAGGGGAATTCCGCATTACTTTATGCCACCAGATCTGGAGATTTAAAAATAACAAAAATAATCCTTCGAGAATTTGTTAGAAGAAGAGTTCAAGGTCAGGACCAAGCGAATAGTGCGGGTGAAACTCCTCTTATTTTAGCTGCGAAGTTAGGACATTGGGAATGTTGTGATGTTCTCTTAAAGGGAGGGAAAGCCTCCCCACATGCCAGAGATTTTGAGATGAAAATGACAGCCGAGGAATGGAAGATGTCAACATTGCATAGCAATGCGCTACCTTTGGGTAAGAAAAGTTTAGAAGGGCTTTCAAGGCAAGTAAGAAGTGCCAATGGGAAATGCCATTCGGTTGAACATGCTAAAGGGCAAGATGTGACAGCGGATGGAGGTGATCAAAACAGCGCAAAGAATTCCAAACAATTGCAATCTTCCAAGCCTTGGGTTTACAACGACAGCAATCGTTATCACTTTTCTAGGTGTAACGAAATTAATCACGATGAAAGAAGCGTAAAGTTGTTGGATAAAAGGAGCCGTCGAAAGGGAAATCCCATGAAACAACGATATGGCGACTACGATGAAACAAACTTTGAAGTAAGAAGCACAGCAGCTTCACCACTTGGAGAAATAAAATCTAGCAACATTTTGGCAAATGAAGACAAAGGAATTTGTATGAGAGGCCACACTTCAAAAGGTCTGAAAAGCATCGATGTTGTAAACGGACATGACCGACAAACGTTCTTAAAGAGTAGAAAAGACAATAGATCAATGTCAGCTCCACAAAGAGCCTATGAAAGTCACGTTGGTCGACTTCGTAAAACCTACGATGAAAAATGCAAGAATGCTTTGGAAAAGAAGGATGTTCCTGACTGGACACAACCAAAAAGGCAAACATCATTCACAAATGATCAGCTTCCAAGCCTCTTGCGTGTCTTGGGGGATCAGCAGTCGTCTTCCTACCGCGTCAAAGCCACACCTCCCCCTCCAGAACCAGAACCAGACCTGAGGAAAGAAACCGGCGATCCACGACGTAAGGATATTCTCAAAAGATTTGCCAAGGCCGGGCTTGCGTCCATGATGATGAGTAAACTAGGTGGTGTTAGGAGAAAAAGCGGTGCGACAGAATACACTGGGAAGATTAATTCTCCTTTGTCTGGACACTGCAAACGTAGAACAAGGTCTAACTCATGTAGAAGTGATGGCTCGTCTCACTCAACCAAGAGTTTGTGGATATAATTTAGGTTAAGCGCTTTACGTTAAAATGAGCTTGCAGCGTCTAAGAGAAGTGTGCCTCGTGTTTAAACCAACTTCATTTAGGTTGCAACTCGTAGGTATTGTCAGAGTGCGATAAACAAGTTGCATTCTGGTCTAGCTGGAGTATCAACGACACCACATAAGACATGAACTAAAAATGTTTGTATCTTTAGCTGATGGATTTACTAGTAGTGGCGGATCCAGGGTGGGGGGGGGGGGGGGCGAAGGGGTCCACGGAACCCTTGAAGGTTTGATCTTTTAGGTAATAGAAATATGTCTTATGTAAATTTTGCTTAAAAGTATCCACAAAGATAATGTTGAACACGAAATAATAGATATTTGCTGTTATAATGTTTAATTTACCCCCAAGTTCCGTTACTAGATAGTAAATTAGGTGATTAGAGCCAATTTTTTTGTCAAACATCGACTAAACAAAAGAGAATTATACACAGTTTAAGAAACGGAACCCCCCTTTAAAAAATCCTGGATCCGCCACTGAATTCCTATATTACCCAAGATAAACCACAATGCACCTTGCATGTTCCCTCTTGTAGGGGAACCTCTGGCACATTAACAATTCGGGAATTACTGGGCTAAATACATGAACAATTCAAAGTTAAATATGTCACACATGTAATTTAAATCAAATGTAATGAACCAGTCTAAGCTACAATGGGGTATGTCACAATAGATTTCTAGTTCCTTAGGCTGACTAGGATTCTTGGCGTTAATGTGACGTCATAGCCGCCATCTTGGAATGATTGCCATCGAAAGTTCTGTTTAATTGAACCCCGAGAATAAATAGATCTTAATAATCCAAATAAGCTTAATTTCTTGATATGAATGGCCATTAAGCTCAATTGAATAAATTTAGAGTTGGCGATTGATAGGCTTAGCTCAGCTCAGAGCTTGTAGAATGTAGTTAAAAATGTAATTTAAAAAATACTTAAAAATGTATCTTTTGAAAAATACTTTACAGAAAATTCAGATTGACTGATTATTTACGATTGTATTACTCAAAATAAATTCCAAAAACTGTCCCTTGAGCGAAAAGATAAGAATTCATCCAACTCGCAGTCGCAGATCTATCAAATTCACAGCTCCACAAACACTGACTCGCTATTTTTACATCCTGACCTTGGTTTTCGCCAACGTGAACAACAGTAACCAATTTGTACCTCGGAATCTTCAGTTGTTTCACTCTTTCTTTGATAATGTGCGATACTTTTTTGCTCTTTTCGCGACATGTTTCTAATTCGTACTTTTCTCCAGAAAAGTTTTCTTCTAATACGTCGCGTATAATTTTCTCAACCTCCTTCACTGGGAAGCGTTTGTCTGGCGAGTTCTGGTAGGTGTTTTGGTAAAAAACTTTTCTTCCTACTTGAGAAGTTTCTGTTATATCATATGCTTCAGTAAGCAATTCGCTTTCTCTTGATTCAAACTCAGGCTTCAAGTTTGGTAACTGGTTGTCTCTCGTGGAAAGATAACCATTTTTTCTTTGATTCTTGCCAGATAAGCTGAACAAGCCCTTTTTCTGAACAGCAGCCATTGCCAAAAGAATAATTCAAAATCTTCAGTCAGTTTCTCAGAAATTTTCCCATGCAGAACTTTTTCCTTATATTTGAATTCTGTGGATTCAGCTGTTGCTTTTCCTAGGCTGGTTGGTGTGTATGGTAATGTAATTCCTCTCTCACGTTTTGAAGACAAAAAAGATCAGATATTTAGTTTTTCATACAACAATTACAAGTCCTTTGGGAGACACCCTCATGTTTTGCACAACTACATCTATTGTTCAACAAACATTATTAATCACCAAGCACTTAACCTTAAGAATATAAAAGCTGGCTTTGAAGTGACACAGCATAAGAAGACAACACGTTTTTGTCTAGGAAAACAAAGACGGAAAAGCTAAGAGATTAGCATCTGCTGCACTAATGATGCTGTATGCTGCACGTTTGAGGAAATAGGGGCTTGCAAACTAATCTCTGCAAAAGTAACGGTTTCCGTTTTGTAGAATGGACAAGCAAATTCTAATTAAAATAGTTAAAAGGTAAACTTCCGGGACACGCAAGGTTAACATAACAAAGCAGCAAACGCCAGAGCGAGAATAAATAACCTCTGGACTCCAGGGTATTAAATATAAAGCAAATTGAACCTAAAATGATTGTCTTGCATGTATAAAACCTTTAAGAAAAAGGAGATTTAAAGGCTTCAAACTCCATTAACTTTCCTTGTAATTTAATTATATATTAATCAGCAGATTTATATACAGTCTTAGGATGCTGTAAAGATAAGATTTTAAGAGATCACTTTGCCTATTAGATTTCAATCTATAAACAGATGATGATGCTACGTTGATGCTTTCGGCGATGATTCTTGTCGTTGGTACAGTCTAAGAGCATCCTATTCACTTGGTTCCCATTGGTTAACAAATTGAATGACTTAATATACATTGTTCAAATTCTAAAGCTCTATAATTAGGTTAACCACAGTTCACTTTAAAGAACAACCCCTTAATTGACTTCAACACAATTATTACATCAGCGCTTGTCCTCGTTTCTTTGTCATCAACTATGGCATTGTAAAAGCAACTCCGTTGCGTTTATTCAAGATTACGCTCTCAGGACCTATATTAAAAATGGTTTGCGTGTTTATCAATGAATAAGCTCTTCATCGATTTGTGAATAATTATGTTAAGTCAATATGATATTGAAAATACGATTGAGTTTGTTTACTGTATATCACCTTGGCAACGTAACTTTAACAACTATTTTGGCGCATAAGTAAAGCTGCAAAACCAATTTGAACTAAAGAACAAAGTTTGGTTAACTTCAACGAAGCGATATTATAAACTTGAGAGAAAAGGTTGAGAAGGAAACTTAGAGACCGTGGAATGGGCTTCTCAGTGGCCTTGTACTAGCATTCGGAAATCTTTGTTTGTTAATGTTCGTTTGCACGAGTTTTAAGGAACTTGGCAAGAATATTTGAGAGTTGAAACCCAACATCGCATATATCTTGGAAACCACACAGAAAAAAATATGGAGGCACCCAAAGTTATTCTTAGTAAACCAGTGTCGGAATCTGAGACTCCAAGGTTCACACAATCTGGAACTGCCAATAATGCTACTGGCCGGGATGGAGACAGAACTCGAAGCTCCTCGATCGCTTCTGAATTCCATGGCAGCCCTCAGAAGACGGAAAGGCGAAAACCCTCAATGTCCAACCCATATTTTCATTCCTCGCCTAGGAAAGCGTCCATGAACTATGGTCCAAGGAACACGAGTGATACAGTGGACTATCAACCGATGGGAAAGGGAAAGGACGGACTACATCGTCAAATGGCACTTCAACCAACTTACCGAACCGAGCCGCAAGAAGACAAGAAGTTCGCACCACATGTCGTTAAGAAGATCATGGATGTTGCTTTGGAGGAAGCGGTTGAAGGCATGAACCAGTACGAAGCAACGAAATGCAAGGCTCTCAGTGTCTCGGTATGTGAGGATATCAAGCAGAAAGTAAAATGGCTGAACTATGAAAGATATAAGCTGATTTGTGTGGTCTATTTCGGATCTGTCGGTGGACAGGAATTGAGAGTTACAAGCCGATGTTTGTGGAATGAAAACTTTGATAACTTCGCGTCATCCAGCGTCGTAAAAGGGGATATCTATGCTGTTGCATTGATGTACGGCGTATACCAGGAATAATCACCAAGTATATGGACTTGTAAGAGAACTACCATACCGTAATACCGTGGACCTCCGAAAATAAGCCCTGCACTTTTACGACTCAAATTCTAGGGAGCTTAGTTTTTTCGGTAGGGCTGATATATATTTTGAGAGTTTTGCGGTACGCTAATTTCTTTACTATATCATATAATATTCTATTCAGTCTTGTTTTGAAAAGACATTTGGCACCATTTATACCGAAACACGTATAGATTAGGACAAACTTTTTAGGAATTCACTTATAATCAAAAAATTATAATAAAATGGCATAAAGATTGAATGAATTCTAAAATTAGTACATTTTGTGGTGTATTGGAAATTTGGTTTCTGATTCAATTGGAATCCGACATTTTATTAATACATTTATAGTGATACACCTCTAAAAATGCGGACCCCTTAGTGGACTCCCTTTATAAAACGTACAGCTATAGTTGCACGGTCCAAAAAAAAAAAAAACCTATTAAAAAAATAAATTTTATTCTCATATATTTGTAGCAAAATAATCCTCTTTGATTGCTTTTCTCATGTAGTCGAGGCGGCAGCCATGTTTATTTTAATGAGAACACAGGCAGCCCAATCTGTTGTTTTGTGGTGTTGTAGCATTTCGTGGCATGTGAAAATAGTACTTTCATAAATAATAAGAACGACTTTCGTTGATAGCTTGTTGTATCTTTTGATGTTTTGCTAATTTTGAAGCCAAATTGGTGCATGCGTTTTTAGACGAAAAAAAAGGGAAAAAAAGGAAAAAAAAGAAAAAAAAAAAGAAAGAAAAAAAGAAAAAAGAAAAGAAAAGAAAAGAGAAAAAAGAAAACTCCGTAGAGACGCATTAAACTGGCTTCGAAATAATACCGTAAACACGGAATCAAATTCTACATCACAGAACAAGGAGATTGGGTTGCCTGTGGTGAGAATAAAAAAATTCATTTGTACATGCTTAACCTCGTTTAAGAGCAAACCATTTACAAATGTCATCTGGAATGTAAAATGCAAGTTGGATAATGATAATGTTTTGAAATCCCACGGACTTTAAATATATATCTTTGAGTAGCTGACTTATAAACGACGCGAAGCCTTGAGTCTGTGGTCTTTAAAGACAGCGGTATGCATTAAATGCAACACTGGTCAAGGGAGCACATTAAAATTTTGTTTGTGTAAGGAAATTCAAGGTATTGTTCTTGGTTGATCTATCTAGCGCGCGCAATCCATCATGTGACAGGCGTTCCTCGTAGTGTTTTGGTTTCGGCCGATCCGAATGGCTTACGATCGTGTAAGGAAGGGAATGACGAGTGTAGAAATTCGTCGGTTTTCGGAGTAAATTCGCTAGCCCGACTAAAGCAAGGAACGCCTGCCATAAAGTGTAGCGCGCGCACGTAAACAAGCACTACAAGGAACGCCTGTCATATCTTAGATTACGTGCGATAAAATCGAAGATAAACCAACACAATCAAAATTTTAACGTGCTCCCTTGCACTGGTGTGTTCCGCGGACACCAAGCAAGATAATAAAATTGTAGCTAGGCGAAAATAGTTGTAGCTAGGGGGTGACGGTTTTTATCTGTTTTAAAATTACTTCTTTATTCTTGTGGATTTTTTGTTGACGAGCCATTTTCTAACTAAAGGAAAACAAATTCAGCTATCAACTATCTTATCAATAGGAAAGTCAACCCAAAACATCTGTTCAATGCAAACAAAGAATATTTTAATCAAACCATCAGAACATGACCTCGGGATATGAATTAAGTGATATATATTCGTTCTGTCTAGCTCCATCACAAGTCAACAATATTCATCTGATGCACTTAATTCTGGCTCTATTTTTTTCTTAACAAAATTAAAGTGGTTGATTTTGAACTCATTTACTAATAGGCATGTAATAGTAGTAGTCTCGATCTTTCCTATTCTTGTTTTTATATGAAAAGAAAGTGAAGGGAACAATTATGAGAAAAAGAAATGGAGCAGTCAACTCACTAAATATGAAAATGAAAGGGAGTATGAAAAACATAAAAGAAAAAACTTGTAAAATGATAAAGAGTAGAGTAAAATGATGTAGGGTAGAGTAGGGTAGGGTAGGGTAGGGTTTTGTAGGGAAGGGAAGGGTAGGTAGGGTAGGGTAGGCCAGGGTAGAGTTAGTTTAGGATAGGGTAGAGTAGAGTTAAGTTAGGTTAATATTAGAGAACGGTAGTTTAGATGTAGTGTATTGTAGTGTAGTGTGGTGTGGTGTAGTGTAGTGTGGTGTGGTGTGGTGTGGTGTAGTGAAGTGTAGTAAAGTGTAGTGTAGTGTAGTGTA